ATAATAATAATAATAATGATAATGATAATAATAATAATAATGATAATGATAATGGTAATAATAATAATAATGATATTGATAATGATAATGATAATAATAATAATGATAATGATACTGATAATAATAATGATGATAATAATAATAATGATAATAATAATAATAATAATAATAATAATAATAATAATAATAATAATAATAATAATAATAAAACAATGACAAAACAAATAAACAAATAAGTCAAAAGTCAAATAGGCCTAAACAGATAGGGAAATAATTAAATACATAAATAAGTTAATAAATAGATAAATAAATGAATAGAATAGACAACTGAAGTGTATGTTAAAGCAGTACAAATCGAATTATAAGGGTCCCAAACAGGATTAAGTTACATTTTTTATAATTGATTTAGAGTTCATTCTCAACCAAGGTACTGAGACATGGAAATTAGATTGGAATTAACAGTAGACCTATCAAATAATGATTGTATATAACTTAATCGGAATAAAAGAACGGTAGTGTCTTCGGCATAGAGGAAAAATTGAGTAGGCCTATTGAAGAAGAAAGATAAATGTTATTGATATATAAAATATATAAGAGGGGCCCAAGTAAAAACCTTGATAAACACAACAAGTTATTGAACTGAAATTTGAAATTGAATTACAATATTTTGTACATTGAGAACGATTAGAGAGTAGAACTATTTTTTAAGAGCTGAAATGCAGATCCGCGAATTCCGTAGTGAGATAATGTATATAAACGATTATTGTAGTCGATAGTGTCGAAAGCCTTGGAAAGATCTATAAAAATTCCGATAGAAAGATGGCGATTTTCAAATGTAGTTACAATTTTGTTTGTTAGGTCAATGAGGGCCACTGATGTACTGTGTCCTTTCTGAAACCATATTGTTTAATGTAGAGAATGTTATATTTGGAGATAAATACAAATTTTCGATCGTAGATTACTCTTTCCAAGGCTTTCGAGAATATGGATAAAATTGAGATAGGGTGATAGAAATAAATTTTCCGACACCAGCGGAAAAACTCTTTGTGTCAAGGGGCGTAGGTACACCCCAATTGGTGTCACTCGGTCGGCGTAATAGTAATTTCAACCTATTGCATTTCCTCGTGTGGAATCATAACCGGACCCCTTTTCTCGTTGCGGATTGTAATTACCTCGCTCCGTGCACCGATAACTCCTTGGAAATTCTTTTTCCCACCTGCCACCCCTTCCTCCTCCAATACACTAGGGCGCTACGGCACCCTGCCAGTATTGAGGG